GAACGTGGTTCTGCACTCGCTAAAATGGATCCATGTTTCTGACGCCTGTAAAAAGGGCAACATTCAGCATATTCATTGAGAAATCACTTGCCAATAGGCAGCAAATTTTCACTTCACTAAACTGCAAGCTATCTGCTAAAACAGGCTGTTTGCAGGCATGCATCTGAACCACAGAACATGTTGTTACCGTTTACTCTTGTTCTTGCCCAGATTTCAGTAAACTGCAAGCAAACTGCAAACTGGACCAGTAATCCCAAGTGTCTTTTCATTATCAGCACTTTGAAGAAACCAGTTAACTGCCTACAGCATAAAATAAACAAATTGAGGAGTTTCCTTTTAAAGCTTTGTGTTTTAATATATTTGTTTTTACTAACCAGTGATGCAATTTAAGATCTTTGTATTTACAAGACAGCTGCAAGCTGTAAGGAATTACATTTTACAATGTATTTCTTCTTTATGAAACACACAAAACCAGTTTGTAAATGAAATGACATTACACTGTTCCTCTGTATTTTCCTCTCACTCAGATAACAGTACTTCTCAGATGATCTCAGATAAACGTGACCTGCTGTAGGTCAACACATTTGCCTTCTCCAGCAAGAAACAGCTGCCACCTTTCATTAGTATTAGGTGATTACATGGGAAAAAAAGGCAAAAGCTTTCAGTGTCATGCAGGAAGGAATGCAAGGGTTGAACATACTCTTATTGCAGAAGAGAAAGCAAATCTGTTACATTCCGATCCACAGCTCTTTCAAGTATATCATAACTTACCCACTGACATCAGCAGGCCCCAGAAGAGGAGCTGCAGATTAAAATCTTGTAAAAAGAGTAAAACAGCAATCAATGACTTCAGCAGTCTTACAACACAGATTCTGTAAGAATGTTATTAGAACTGAACTTTCAACACAATTAAAGTGGTCAGCATGAATTCAACCAGTGAATCAAAGTAAATGTGGTAGCAATTAACTATTATGAAGATTTAAATCACGGACAGCTATTGGTTATGTTCCTAGATTTTAAATGAACTTTCTAGAAGTTCTATTAGAAGAAATACCTGATGTAAAAAATATTAATATCTGCAATATGCAAATAATTATTTTTTTACATCTGACTCCTAAGCATTAGTAAGCTCTTTATAACCTTTTCTCTGCATGAACAAAAATCTTTTCTCCTGAAGAGTTTAACACTTGCCTTCCTGTTACTACCAAGTCACAGACACAATTATATCCAGGCAAAAGGAGAAGTCCGATATCTTTTGGAAAAATCAGTTGCTTTGGGGTGAAGGGAATCTCAACAGCAGACTTTGAGGTTTTTATCCAATAATGATGAACTATATGCTGCATTTTGTTCAAATGCACTGGAACATGTGCACTTGTTTCCCCAGCCACTATAAATATCATCTGATGTCTCAGAGGCCATTAGAATTGTACAGATGACCAGCTGAGAAACACTGCTCTGGCCTATACACTGGCTGAACTCAGCTGGCAATTTTATCAAAACATTACAGTACACACTGCTCCTCTCTCTCAGGTTAATTCTGCTCCAAACACCGAGCTAGTAAGTCAGAGACACACGTAAATCAAGTAACGCCAATAAAGTTCGTTCTAACACTGTAATGACTCAACTTTTTCTAAAACATACAGTGATAAGCAAGTCTTTAATCTCCAGTAATAGAATGACTCAGTTTCAGGAACAACTCACCTAATTAACCAGGACATGCTTTAAGCCAATCCATATGTAATACTGCGATAGTCTACTGCAGGAAATAACAAACACACCACCGTTTGATTTCTATATTTTGACCAGCACCCTGACTTCAATGGAAATCACAAGCATTCAAACTGATGCAAGTGCCAAGACCTTCCCAAGACCTCTCCTTTTGATTTATACCCATGAACCGAGAGGTCTGCCAGACTCTCCACTGTTACTCAATTGCCCTGCTCCACTTTATTCTATTTCCCCGGTCTTTTTTCAAAAGAACTGTACACAATACAATTTTACAAGTGAATCTCAGCTCCTGCTAAGGTTGAATTGCATCTTGTAACCTAGAGAATGATTTGGTTTATTAACTTGCAGTGCCACCTAGCAAACGTCCTTAAAATTTTTTTCCTGATGTAGTTTTACAAAAGGACAGCTTAGAGCTTTCATATTTTAAAAAAGACAAACTTGTGCTTGCATACTTTTGTTTTGAACACTAAAATTTTTGTTACAAATTATGCTTACAAATAGGATAATAACAAAGATGCTCACATATCTAAAATTCTGGTATACAAACTTGCGAGAACAAGTTTTGGACATATCCCTTATACATTTGTCTACAAATAGTTCAGTTAAATGTTGGGGGATTTCTTTGAAATCATACATTTTGATAGTCAGTGATGAATTTATTGGAGTTTTGAGATAAGAGAAACTCCTACCACCAAAATAAGGAGGATTGTAGCTTATCAAGGAACATTAGTACCTTGTGTGTAGACACCTTTTAGACTTGCCTGAAATCTAGACTAGCTTGATTTGCCTTGCCTTAAAATAATAACCATCTCTCAGGACAAAACTAGTTTAGATATTTAATACTGTGCCTGAACCATGAGGCTATCCCATAGACCTACATCTGGGAGACATTAAAATGCAGCAATTCAGAATAAATGCTGCAGCCACTTTCTATTATCCTAAACCTCTAACAGGAAGCTGTTTCCTGTTTAGCTCCTGTGCCAAATTCTAGCAAGCCATTTAAAAGAGAATATAACCAAACAAGCAAAAAGCAACCTCATGATATCAAGAGTGAAGGACAAACAGAAAAATACACTCTGACCTTATCCCTTCAGACAACACATCTGAGACCAACTACACTATAATCTCCTTGATTAAAGCAGCTTGTCTTCATTCACAATGTCAACATGTACCAATATTTAGACAGTGCTTTGGCAGCAATACAAAATAATACGGTTTTATTGCTTCTCTAAGTAGAGTTCTGCTATTATACTTCCTGGTGAACAGGGAAACCACTACATGTTTTATAGAGTACAAGAAATAAAGCAAGTCAAAACAAAAGATACATTTCCAATAATGAGAACAGCTTTGGCTTAGTTATTATTCTATAACCCTTGATTTTTCAGCCTATCTCCAAAGAGACCAGCACTGTGTGAGAACTGTATTTACAGGAAGACCAGAAAACCAAGGGGGAAAAAATGAAATTAAACATAAAATAAAATAAATTAAAATAAAAATCTCCAACATGTAAAAAATGAATTTTTGATAAGCATTATAGACCCCATCTTTATTTAAGATGCATAGCAGATGTTTTCATATTTGCTGAGAATTTAATTGCTATCCTAAGTCAAGGAAGAGAACACTTTTTTTTTTAATCCAAATAAACCTACATTTTGCATACTCTCTTGAGACCAGAACTGAGCCACTACTTCTTTCCAGAATAACCAATTCTATATTATATGGCCCAAATAGTTTTGCACAGAACTCTATGCAAAAATAACAGATGCATTGCAGATGCTGTACTCCTGTAAGAACTTTGGACCTTAAGTTTCTACAGACTGGCAAGAAGAGCCTTTCCAAAAAAGCCATCTTAATTGAAAAGATCCTTGAAAGTTTGTCTCTCGTCAGACCGACCTGATGCTTTTTTTTTTTTTTTTTTTTTTTTTTTTGGTTAGTTCTGATATTATTCTATGGGTTTGGTCCATTTTCATTCATCTTTATCACTGTTTTTCCACTGAGTTCTCCAGATCCTTGAGGTGTTCATTAATTTCTATACAGCACACAGGCTCACAGTCTGGTTTCCTGCTTGAAAATGTGATATAAGAAACACAAATTCGCTACAAAAATCCCTCCACCAAACACCACAGGTTTTAATGACACACCACTCGTTGTTCAGCACTGGAAGGTTGGATATTAGAGAATTATGGCTACTGTGACCTTTTATGTTTTGGTCTTGTTTTGATGTCACAGTAACGAAAGAAAAATGAAAACACAGGTCACGCATTTCAAACAAATCCTTCTGGTTTCTAATTCCCAAAAGCTGGAACCCACCAGATGCCAGATGTTGTGACTGACCAAGCCTCCACCACCCATCTTAAAATGCCTGAGGACTCTACCACTGCACACCACAAAGCACTAATGCTTACTTTAAGACACGGCCTTCCAACATTTTTGCTGTCCTCTAAATTACAAGAGATACAACTTTGTATTTACAAATTCACCAAGTTTCCTTCACAAGAGACTGATTATTATTGCGAGAATCCATGGCATGTTATAATAAAGTAGGCGGTGTGGATGTTCTCAAATTTATTTTACTAAAACATGCCTTTTTGACTAATTATAATGGTACTATTATTTTTTTTCCCCCTGTATAATGTGAAGATTAGTCATGACAGTTGTTTTTTTCCTCCTCAGGAAGTAAAGGAAATCCATACCTTAATTAATACAGTAAGAAGATAATTACTATGCTTAAGTGATGAGGACTCAGGCAGCTCTCTGTTGAGAAGCTATTTATTTCTCTTTCTTTTAATTCAGTTCATCTACAAGAATTTTTTTAGATATGTGTCGCTCTTCATGCCAGTTAACAAAGTCATGCAGTACAACTGGAGATATATGCAACTACCACAACAAACAGGGAGAAAGCTTATGAAATATGTCTTTGTGTTTGCAGAAGGGAGGCCACATATCTATTTTTTTCTCTCTCACCTCCTCTTCATCTCTCAGTCTTTGAAATCTTCTAAGCCCTCACAAAAGCATTTTCTGTATGTTTTACAGGCTCAAATTTATGTCTTATCAATATTTAACCTCAGCTTCTCACAGGTGGGAGGATACACTTTTCTGCCAGCCAACAAATGAGGATGGATGGCTCTGGAAGTGAACACCCTTGCTGCAGGTGCTGTTATTTGCAGCAAGCACTTCTCTTTCATAAATACACAATGCTTCTGTCTTGGCAATTCCCTATGGTAGGTTTAACAGTGCTTCTGACCAACTACACGTTAACAGTTAGGGCAGGGTTTAATCACTACATGCACTATTTCAATTTGTTAGGTAATTAGAAGCATAAAAACTTTCAACACTTGACTCCTGTGCTTTGTCATTCTCCAGGTTACAATTATTAATCAGGAGTCATTCTCAATCATCACATGCACAAGTAATTATTCCAAGTTTTGAATATTAAATAATAACCAAGAAACACATTTATTTCCATTTCCATGGATAGTTTCACCTTTTTATAAGAATAATGAGACATCTACAAAAAAAGTATTAAAAAAAAACATTTAAAAAAGCAACATGGTATTTCTATCTCCAGTTCTATCCACATGATACAGTCATTACACAGAGAAGATGAAACTCTATGGAATTTACTATGAAAGTTGTTTTTTTTTCACCATTAGTATTTCTAATACTGAGGAAACGTTGAGTCAATTTTACTGGCCCAAGCCATGAGCCCCCCTTTAATATCCTTAGCTAACACAGAACCCTCTTTGACAGGTAACTCCTGCAGAATTCTTACAGCCTTTTGAGAATCATTTCCTAATTTGCAAACAACATATACAGGAAAAGATGTCTGGCCATTAGTTCTCTGTTTTTCCTCATGAATTATTTTTTCTAAATATTCCAGACACTCTTCATCTTTTTCTTCTAATTTACTCAAAGGAATGTGGACAGCGTGTACCAGGCGACAGATATCCACTTCTACCTGCGGACGAACATCTAACAATACATGAGGAACTTGCTCATCCAACAGTTTTTTGTATTCCTCGACAGATATCCTGTCTTTACTGGATAGCAGATGTAAAGTCCTACACTTGTCTGTTGCAGAAGAACCACAAAATGCCTCATAATCCTGTAGGCAGGTGACAGATGGATTGTCACCACAAACAGCACAGTCTGGTTTCTTTGGTCTTAACTTGATGTTGCGAAATCTCCCTTCGTGGGCATCAAACATCAGCATGAACTGACTGAAGGAGGAACCCATTCCTGAAGCGATCTTCAGCACTTCCAAAGCCTGGATGCACCCCATGATGCCTGGCACAACACCCAGAACTCCCCCATCCGCACAGTTAGTCACTGTCTCTGGTGGAGGGGGCTTGGGGAAGAGACACCTGTAGCATGGCCCTCCCTGGTAGTTGTACACAACCAGCTGCCCCTCCAGCCGGAGGGCACTGCCAGACACCAGGGGTTTCCCAGCCAGGACACAGGCGTCATTCACCAAGTACCTGGTGGGGACGTTGTCAGAGCAGTCGGCGATGACGTCGTACTGCCGCACCAGCTCTAGGGCAGTGCGAGGGCTCAGGGCGCTGCAGTAGGGCACATACTGCACCGTGGAGTTCAGCAGCCGCAGGGCTGCGGCAGCAGATACGGCCTTGGGGAGCCCTCGGCGGGCCTCCCCGTGCAACACCTGCCGGTGCAGGTTGCTCGTCTCCACCACGTCATGATCCACCAGGCCTAGGCGGCCGACACCGGCGGCTGCCAGGTACTGGGCCAGGGGGCAGCCCAGGCCGCCGCAGCCCACCATATATGGATCAGATAAAATAGTGAGTTGTATGTTCTGTTCTTTTTTTTTCTTTTTTATTGTACTGGAAAGTAATTGAAGTCCTTAGAGAACTGGAACAGAGTCCCTGGATTTTGCACTTTCTTTACATCATTAAACAAGTTATTTAAAGTTTTGTGTGCCACTTTAGACAAATGTAAAATTAGAGTAGTCATGCAGCTGCTTAGCAACATTATGAACTAATATGTGGAATCATGAAGTAATATTTGCAAAATATTTTCAGTGCTTTCTGCATTGCTGTGTGCTACTGAGTAATGAACAGCGATTGTTAGTGTAGTTTGTTAGCCTGAGGGAGAGATGAGGTTTGGATAAACTAATTTCATTTAAGTGACTGCAGTAATAGGAAAATTGGAGAGATGAAAGCTAGTCTGGTTTTGTGATTTATTTTTAATCTGTAGTTGCATTCCTCAATAACAGGCCTTTTTTCTTTTCTTTTTACTATATTACTGTATAACCATCAGTTGTATACAACAAGATACCGTCACTTATTTACTGTTTGAGTAATTAAAGCCAATTTTTTTTAATAAAAGCTTTGTCACAGAACAGTGTAAAACCCCACCATTCAGTTTGTCAGAGTTTTGTGCTGTAAGCACTGTCAGACTCTTTCTTAATGTGTTTCTGTGTATTTCTTAATGCGTTAGTGTAATTACTAATGTATGTTTAGATGACTGCTTAAATATCTGCCCTCCCCAAATGCTGACTTATATCAAAGGCACTTCAGGAAGAGTTGAAAGTTAAATTATTGTCATGATGATCTAAAAGTTAGATTTCTCTTTTGCTAGTGGTGGTGCCCCCTTCTCCCCCTGCACTTCATATGGCTCTGCAGGAGCTGAGGATACTTGGCACTAAAGCTTGGTCACTCATGTTCTGAAAGATTAACATTATTGTTACATGGTCATTATTCATGGGTTATATCTGTATGCATATTAGAATCTTGACATTTATAGTCAATACTAAAAGTATGCTAAATCACTTTGGGGAAACTTGCTGAAATATTCACTGTTAGTGTTTG